ATCCCATCCCATCCCATCCCATCCCATCCCATCCCATCCCATCCCATCCCATCCCTCTCCCATACCCTGTGTGGGGTCGTGGTTCTCCCAGAAAGCCTTCAGCAGTTCCTCGTAGCTGATCTTGTTGGGGTTGAACACCACCCGCACCACCTCAGCGTGCCCTGTCTGCCCTGTGGGGACACTCCAGTCCCCTCCATCCCAAAGTCCTTCCCTTCTGGGGACCGAGGGCACAGAGGGACAAACCTCCCCACCCCACAGAATGCCCCTGCCCAGCCAAACCCTCACCCAAATCACAGGGGCACACCCAAGGTAAATGACAGCCACAATGGGGACATTTTGGGGACAGAACCCCCCGGTACCTGAGCGCACTTCCTCATAGGTGGGATTGGGGGTGAAGCCCCCCGCATATCCCACCTGGGTAGAGAAGACCCCCGGCATCTCCCAGAAGAGCCGCTCCACTCCCCAGAAGCAACCCATGCCTGCAGGGAGGAGAGGGGGGAGGAAGGCAGTGGGGTGACCCCACAGAGGTCATGGGGTTCCTAATTTGGGGCTGGGGGCAGCACTCACCAAAAATCGCCATCTGCATCTCAGGGGGGAAAGGAGGCAGCGTGGGATTCCCGGTGACGGCGTGAGTGGCTGCGTAAGGATGGGGGTCAGGGCTCCCCGGAGGGGTCGCATCCCCTCTCCCTGGGATTTGGGATCTGGGACCCCCCAACCCAACCCCAAGGAACCCTGTGGGTACCCTCCACGTGCAGCCGCTCTGCTCTGCCTGGCAGAGCCGCGCTGGGGCTGGGGAGCGCCTGGGGATCCAGCATGGCCACCCCAGAGCTGTGCCACCGCTGTGACTTTGGACTGGGCTGAGCCCTGGCACTGGGAGCACTGGGAGCACTGGGAGGGGACGGGGCACCGCAGGCAGAGCCAGGAGGTGTGCGAGCACACGGTGCTACAAACAGGGCTGATGTGTGACATGGGGACGGAGCTGGGGACAGCGTGCGTGAATTGTGTGCATGGGGCTGCCGTGCCCTCCTTCCCTTTGGGGACAGAGGGGTTTTTGTGCCCTGTTCAGGGGAATGGACGCAGCACGGTGGCTGTAGCACAACTCCTACAGACAGCAGAGAATCCATCGCATGGGGCAGTGGACCCAAACCGGGTCCTCTGTCAACCATTAATGTGCCCCGGGGTCACCGTGGGACAACCCAGCGCCCTGTACCCCATGCAGGATTGGGGGCTGGAGCCCACCCCCAGCCCCCAGCATAGAAGAAGGGAAGGAAGTGCTGCTGAGACCCCCACCCACATCACCCCTGTCCCCATGGGTTCCCAAGTGTCCTGCATTCCCCATGTTGCTGTAGGTCTGTCCCCGCAGACCCCTCATCCCCATGGGTCTCCTAACCCCCCAACCTCATCCCCGCAGGTTCCCATCCCTGTCTATCCCTATCCCTACAGGTCACGTCCCCATCATCCCCCATTCCCACGTTTCCCTACCTCTGGGGGTCTCCTATTCCCCACGGATCCCCACAGACCCTCACCATTGTGGTCTGTCCCCCTCCCCCACATCCCCACCCCACCTCGCACGGCGTCCTCATGGACAGGAGGTTCACAGCAAATCACCCCCCCAAGGGAGAGCACAAAGGAAGCAGCATCCCCAAACCTCCCCCTCTTCCAGACACCCCAGGACCCCTCCAGCAGCACTGTGCTCCCCCAGCCATCAGCCCCATTGTTTTGTGCTTGCTGCAGACCTTGATTTCATGTCACACCATTAAGGCACGCAGCGAATGCCAAAGTGGGGAGGCAGCCCAGGCTGAGAGATGCTAAAACCACAGCCAGAAGGAGCAGCCCTACGACACCCCAGGTAAGGGGATGCAGCCAGGGCCCATTGAGACCCCTGGTTCCCAAGGTGGGGGCAGCACACACTGAAAGGGGGGGAATGACAGGAGGCAGAGGGGACCCCAGAAATCAGCACAAAGCTCTGCAGCCCCAAAGCAGGTGGGGGGAAACTCATAGAGCATCACACAGCTACAAACCAGTGTGCAACCCCACACAGCAGAGCAGAGCACAGCGATGCACGACGACACACAGCAGTGGGCAGCAATGCACAACATCACGGAGCAGAGCGCTGCGCGGCCCTGGTTGCAATGCACAGCCTTGGTTGCAATGCACAGCCTTGGTTGCAATGCACAGCCCTGGTTGTGATGCACAGCCTTGGTTGCAATGCACAGCCCTGGTTGCAATGCACAGCCCTGGTTGCAATGCACAGCCCTGGTTGTGATGCACAGCCCTGCTTTGCAATGCACAGCCCTGGTTGTGATGCACAGCCTTGGTTGCAATGCACAGCCCTGGTTGCGATGCACAGCCCTGCATTACGATGCACGGCCCAGCAGTGCACAGCAGCCCTCACACAACAACCCCAGTCCCAGAACAGCCCCTACCCTGAGGTCTGGAAGCAGGGCAGCAATGCTGTGGGTTCCTCTGTGCTTCTCTCCAAAGAAAACCACGCACGGATGCTGTGATCGCAGTGGAACCCAGCACAGTTTTCTTGCACCCAGCCCCCAACACCGGGCTGGATGGCACCCATGGGTGCTGCACCTCAGCCCATCTCACCCCATGGGTGGCTCCGAACGCTGCTGCATTCCTGCACTCAGGGCACAGGGAGGCAAAAAGGGAGCAGCAAACACCAGTGATGCTCAACAGGATCTCACGTTTATTACTGAGAAGTGATTAATGGTGAAAAGAAAGGCGACGCCCAATTCCTCATTGGCTTAACAAGAACTGAAGGAACAAGTTCATCACTACACATTTTACAATATTTTTTTTTTGTCCAAAAAAAAGATTTTTTTTTTTCTTTCTTTTTCCTGTAAACAAAAAAACGGGAGGTTTTTGGTTTCTTTCTTTTTTTTTTATTCCAACACCATCCCCACCTTTCCAATGCCATCAACACAAACCTCACCCGCGAGCCACGCAGCGCCGCAGAGCAGAGCATCGCTTTGGGCTCCCAGTGCTTCTGAGCAGCCAAAGGGGCAGAGGAAAAGGAACCACGGTGACAGAACCTCGTGGGCAACATCTGCTGGATCCCAGCCCCCAAAGCCCCCCTGTGCTCAGGCTGCTCCTCCTCTTCCAGGCCAGATGGGGAGGGGGGGGGATAACAAAGTTCCTCCGCTTTGCACAGCGGCTCGGTGTTCCAAGTGCAAATGTCAAACCCAGGGGAGGAGGCGTGGGGTTAAAAATTAAAGGGGGGGAAGGGGAGGGAAAAGGCAAAAATGCCCCTTATGGGCCTTAAAATAAAAAAAAAACGTAGTAGAAAGACAAAAACCAAAGCGTATGCTCCGAAATCACAACCAAAGCCAAAAGGAAAGGGAACGGTTTCAGCTATGCTCTATAACCTAGAAGGGACTTTTTTTTTTTCTGTATTTTTTTCCTTTTTTTTTTCCTTTTTTTCAGTCCTATGTCTTGTGAAATTCCAATGCTTTCCTCTTGTTTTTCCTCGAGTTTGTCAGAGTCCTTTTTCTTTTTCTTTTTTTTTTTTCCTCCTCCATTTGAAGTCACTGAAATGAAGAAAAATAAACCAAAAATAAACCAAAAATAAACCCAAACCCAACCAAGTCCTAATTTCTCTCTGGGATTTTTTTTGCTCTTTCTTTCCTTTCTCCGACAGTCGGGCGCGATGCAATCTCTGCTGCAGTCTCTGGGGGAGGAGAGGCCCTTCTATTTGACACGGCCCTGGCGTTCCTGCAGGGGGAAAAGAGAGAAGGCATCAGTGGTGTCCTGTGTGGGGAAGGGAAGCGGGAGGAAGGCAGGAGCTGCCTGCCTTCACCCATGGGTGCCACCTCACTCCTTCCAGGGATGTGGGATCACAGAATCACCCGGGTTGGAAGGGACCTCAAGGATCATGTAGTTCCAACCCCCCTGCCTAGCAGGGCCACCAAACACACACATTCAGATCAGGTTGCCCAGGACCCCGTCCAACCTGGCCTTGAACACAGCCAAGGACGGGGCATCCACAACCTCCCTGGGCAGCCCGTTCCAGGGCCCAACCACTCTCCTTGTAAAGAACTTCCCCCTAACATCCAACCTCAATCTTCCCTCCTTCAACTTGGATCCATCCATTGGGATGCAGACACCTGCTTGCGTCCCCCTCCTCTCTGTGCCTCCAGCTAAGTGCCAGCAGGGCATCACCACGCCAAAGGGAGAAATGGGAGAGAAGAACTGAGCAGCACAGGGAGGAAGAACAAGGAAAAAAACAACCATGACAAAGGGAATCGCAGAACAGCCAGGCTTGGAAGGGACCTCAAAGATCACAGAGCTCCAACCCCCTGCCACACGCAGGGCCACCAACCTCCCCATTTCACAGCAGCCCAGGCTGCCCAGGGCCCCATCCAACCTGGCCTTGAACACCTCCAGGGATGGACGGGGCATCACAGCCTCTCTGGGCAGCCTGAAAGGTCTGGGTGAGGACAGGGACACGGTGTGCTGCTCTGGGTGGGCAGCACAGGAACCCAGGAGGTGGCTGAGGGTGGGCAGAGGGGCAGCTGCACATCACACCTCCCCAGCTGCCAGGGACCCACGTGAGTCACTAAAGCCAAACCCCAGATAGAAAGACAACAAGGGCACGGGGCTGCGGCCCCACAGTGCAGGGGAACGGCTCAGAAGGCACCCAGAGAGGCAGCAGCAACAGCACTTGGAGGCACCGAGCTCTGCAGGGAAGCAGCAGCAGCCAGGAGCACTCGGTGGTGGCCCTGCTCTGCACACACCGTGTCCCTGGGGCTGTGGTGGCACCACGGCCCTGTCCTGCTAACAGTGTGGAAGGCTGATGGCAGATCTCGTTATCCAGCCCCAACCACAGGCTCTGCAGCTCAGGATGGCAACGTCTGTGTGCTTCACCTTCAACAAACACCTGACTGCAGTGCTCCTGTGGGGCAGCAGAAAGCCATCAGAGGGCAGAAGGAGGCAGCACGTGGCTCCCAGCTTCACTGGGATCAGCCTGCTTCCCAGCACGAGGGCTGCATGCTGCCAGCAGTGCTCCTGCAGGGCTGAGCTCAGCCATCCAACCCCTCACCCAGCAGCACACCCAGCCCCCAGCTCTGCTTCCCCAGTCCTGCTGCACAACGGATGCCCCCCCAGCACAGCACAGCGTTGCTATGTGCCCACTCCCAAGATGGGCTTCAGACCCACCCTGGTCCTGCATCACAGCCATCGCTGCCTCAGAGTCGCCCTGCAGAGCTTTCCCTTCTCAACACACTCAGCTCGAGGCACAGCCACAGCCAACAGACTGGGCATCACTTCTATTGTGCTCCACAAACAGCCCCCAGTCCTGATTTACAAACCAAACACCAGGTTTTTCTGCTGCCAGCATGAGAAAAGCCATCAGAGCTACAGAGGAAAGTTCCACCCCGGCCTGCCTCACCTACGAAAGAGGGCAAAATCAAACATGTTGCTCTGGCTGCAGCCAGAAAGCTTCATCCTCCCTCTTGCCCGCAATACTGATTGCAAAGGATGAGCCTCTTCTTGCTCAACCACCACCTCGGATTGCACAAACGAAGCACCCAATTCCCAGGAAGCTGATCATCCTCCTGCTTTTCCCCTTGGCTCTTTGGAAAAGGCAGAAGCCCACCTGGCTGTTTCAAGGCAGAATCAAGGCATGAACACCTCTGTGCTCTGCCTCACCACGCGAGTGCAGTGCTAAGGACTGCATAACCTTGGGCACAGGGGGCAGCTTGAGGGCCTTCACTGGAATTGGTGGTTTGACGTGGTCATAAGGAAACCAGCAAAGCTCACTGATGGCCCTAAGGCATCTGAGCCAATCAAAACAGCAGCCAAGTGTGAAGAAATGGAGGAACCTGCAAAAG